CAGTTTAAGATGAAAAGCAACAAAAAATGTATCTTGTCTCACTTAGGGAGTGATCAACAACTCCGTCCTGGGATATTTCATCGGGAGGATCTACCTCTACCTTACTAAAGTTGGTATTGCCAAAGACAAGCTGCGTTTCCGACAGCACATGGACAACGAGATGGCTCACTACGCCTGTGACTGCTGGGATGCCGAAGCCAAAACCTCCTACGTACGTCCCACTGCAGCGTTTCCTCACAGCTTTATCAGCTTCTTTGTATGCTGATGCTCAAAGTAATGTTTGTCCCCTGCAGGGCTGGATCGAGATCGTAGGCTGCGCTGACCGGTCCTGTTACGATCTGCAGTGCCACGCACGGGCCACCAAGGTCCCTCTGGTTGCTGAAAAGCCTCTAAAAGAACCCATATCCTTAAATCAAAGTAGAAACACAACTTCAGAGAAAGTCCCAAAACACGAAAGAGCCTTTTGATGTTGGTGATCGGTGTTTCTCCTTAACTTCTCCACACAAAACTGTAAATGTCGTCCAGTTTGAGCCCAATAAAGGAGCCATTGGGAAGGCCTATAAAAAGGATGCAAAGATAGTCATGGAGTACCTCTCTGTGTGTGACGAGTGCTTCATTACAGACCAGGAAAAGCTGCTCAGTGAGAGTGGGTGAGTGCTGTGGCTAATCATCATACTGATGGTTGTTTCAAGTACATTTTCAGGAAAGAGTTAGTTTTTCAAATTTGTGCTCCTCAGAGAGTTCACCATCGAGACAGAAGGCAAAGCGTTCAAACTCACAAAGGACATGGTCAGCGTGAAGCGATTCCAGAAGACTCTGCACGGTGAGTTTCACTCAAGAGAAACGTGAGGGGAAATGATACCGGAGCAAGCGGTTTTATAATGTCTCTGTCATCCACAGTCGAGGAAGTTGTTCCCAATGTGATCGAGCCCTCGTTTGGCATCGGTAGGATCATGTACACCATCTTTGAGCACACATTCCAGGTCAGAGAAGGCGACGAACAAAGAACGGTAAGTCTGACAACATCGATGTTTCTGCCCTTACAAAATGACACCATGTTCAGTGCTGCTGCACTCATCCTCTTCATCTATTTCTTTATGATTAGATTTTGATCTGGAACATTGAATCCTTGTGATTGATTTATGTGTATTTTACTAACAAGTTAAAGAGTAGCACTTAATTTCATTTGCCTGATTTTGTTATATTGTTGTAGCTCCTTACAGAGTTGAGTATTTTTGCATGCTTTGTTTTATTTTTGCTGGTTTTCTTTAATGATGCGTCTTCATTTTCACTGCAGTACTTTAGCTTCCCTGCTACTGTCGCTCCTTACAAGTGCTCCGTCCTGCCTCTGAGTCAAAACCAAGAGTTCATGCCTTTTGTGAGGGAATTATGTAAGTGATTCCAAAATCAAACATCCTATTTCAGTCAAAGAAGAAAAATGGCACTTTCTCCAACTGCTTTTTTCTTTTCTCCTTAGCGGAGGCGCTGACCAGAAACGGCGTATCTCACAAGGTGGACGACTCTTCAGGATCCATCGGGAGGCGCTACGCCAGGACGGATGAGATCGGAGTGGCGTTTGGAATCACCATTGACTTTGACAGTGTGAACAAAACGCCTCACACAGCCACTCTGAGAGACCGTGACTCTATGAGGCAAATCAGGGCCGAGGTACTGCTTCACTTCACTCCATTTTTACATGTGTTAGGGCTGCGTAGGTAAACTCTAGAGCGGTGCTTTTGTCACAGCACAGAAAAACATAAAAAACTGAGCAACCATGGTAGTGATTTTCATAACCTTTCAGCTCATTCATTCATTTTGTGTGGTTTGGTATGAAAAATGGTCTCCAAAACATAGGCTGTACAGTAGAATTGGTGTTTAATGTATTCCATTTATATAGCGCCTTGCTGTTCATCCATGGGATAGTTGCAGGAAGTTGATTGTAAGTGATGACATCCAACAATGATGGCGACCGATAAAGAGAAAGCTCTCTGTGTGAGTCTGTGACAGCTGTGCAGCAGGATTTTTCATTAACAGTATGGCGTTAAACCTCCCACCTAAACCTTTCTGTTCAGCCACGTATTTTAAAATTTACCGTAAGCTTTTATGTCTGTTACTTTAAAAAAAAAAATCAGATCAAATGATTCTATAAGTGACGACCAAAGAGAAATACATTTAAGGCCCAATGAGTTTCATCCTTTGCTTGTGCTTCACCTCTCCACAATTCATGAAATTCAGCTTGGTGCTGTTTGATTGTCATGTTGAAACAAATGAAGGGATAAACAAGCAAACAAAAACACTGAAAATGTGCCTCGACAGAAGAATAACAGAGTGGAAAGATGCGAGGACATGCATGGCTGCAACGAGGCTGAGCTTCTTAGTGTGGCAGCAGATGATGTATTTCAGTCTGTTTCACTCACATTTCATGGAACAGAGATTCCTCTTTTACTCATCAGTACAGCTGCATGCATAAACTGTGCAACAACAACAAAATCAATTGTGTTTTTAGGCTTTAAGTCCATTTTCTCTGGTTTACACTTGTGTTGGGCTCAGAGTGATGCCAAGACACGAGCCATACATATCTTTGGACTTGATTGATAATTCTTTCGACAGTAAAATTACCTGCAACATGACTTAACCCTACTCCAAGTGCATTTCACCTCGAGTTCCACACACACCATATAACACCATTAAGTAAAAACGCTCCTCTTTTTCTCTCCTCACAGGTCGGTGAGCTGCCCGTGATCGTTCGGGATTTGGCCAGCGGCACATTGACCTGGGCGGAAGTGGAGAGCAAGTACCCCATCTTCGAAGGACAGGAGACCAGCAAGAAGGACACGAGCGAAGAGTAGAGTTCTCCTGTCTGCCAGCCACTTCATAATAAATCCACAGACTCGTTGCTTATGCACCGCCGCGACGATTGCCGCGACTGGATTGTGACGAGCTGTAGTGGCGCACAGAGCCCTCTTTGTGATCCACACCACTGCAATCACTAAATTGTCATGTATTTATCATATCTTAACAGTTGTGGTAAAGCTTGCACAGGACTGTTGTTTCATTGACGAGCAGCATTTCATCCATGCACGACCATGCCAATACGATGTTAAAAGGGAGAAATGTAATCAGGGTGTTTTCAGTGGAAGGAAGCGTCCACCATTCCAGTTTCAGGCAGATCTGATTGAGATATTTAACAGTTTCAATAAAAAGAGTCGGCACTTACAGGACACGGACAAACAGCTGTGATATTTTCTTCTTGTTTTTGAGCCACTGCTGCTCAGCGATTGCTTTTAATCTCAAAAATGTCTTCTTAAGCTTACGGTAATTCAGGAGTTTTTAAGATGACCTCCAAAACTAAAATCTTAATGCTCGGAAATTAAAACCATGTTTTGAATGTTTGCTTTTTTCCCCTCCAGTGGAAAAAATGTGGACTAAAAATGTCCAACGCATCAGTTTTATTAGTTTGAACATAAACGGTGTATCAGAGCCAACATGAATGAAACAAGTAAATCCAGTATGATTTAAAAACAATAGTCAGCGAAATTGTTTTTAGCACGTGACAAGTTGATGTGTTTAACGCAGCGTACCGATTCATGTTTCATGTGTATGACAGATATTCTGCTTCCTACCATGATTATATTGTTTTTGTTAAAAGTGGGATTCTTTTATTTTTTTGCCTCATAGCTCAACATCATATCTGAGAATTCAAAGCAAAGCAGCAGCCGGCACAGTGGCGTTGTGATTAGCAGGCCTAACAGTAAGTAGGTCCTGGGTTCAAATTCACTGGTTCCCTGGGATCTTTCTGTATGAGTACTCCGGTTTACTTCCAAAGATGCACTTAGAGTTGATTTTTAACCTATTCTAAATTGTTTGGGCGTACCCTGCCTTCTGCCCTGTGACAACTGGGATATGCTCCAGTGTTCCCTCCACCCCCATGATGCTTGGAGAATTGGAAGAAGATGGGTGGAAAATAAAGGACTGATAGTATTATTTTTCACCATTAGCTGGCACCACTGATTCACTGTTACTTCCACTACTAGCTCATTTTTATTTAATTTTTTTTCTATTAAGGGCCTGTTAAATTCTCAAAGGTGGGTAAAGGTAAACAGGTTTTTGCGATCCTACATGCACAATAAGGCACCACTGTTAAGGTGAAGTTACAAAGGCTTTAAAGTGTGGGCTCTTCCTTTATTACTGCATTTATTTACTACATTTATTACTTAGAAAAAGCAAGGCCTAATGCACAAACATCCTAAATGGATATTTGTTTAGCTGGTTAGTCAGATTACTTTGCCTCTTTATTCCAAAAACTAATAATTCTGCCACATGTACAGATCAAGAGTTTGGAGCCTTTTTCACCTCAGTTAACCATGAGACTGTGCCTTCTACCAAAGCTTCTTTCAGCTGCTTCCTCGTTCACAAAGGGGGTCATCACAGTGCACTGACTGTCAGACTTGATCTGACAGATGTTCACACCAGATGTTACTTTGCTACTAAATAATTGTTAAGGATAAAGCGTCTCAGAGACACAGAGAGTGAGCAGGATGAGATTTCTGACTTCCAGGCATCAGTGATGTTCCGTTATACTTGTTTAGGACAAATTTTCCAAAACACTTTCTTGCAGAGTTAAGCACACTGGCTTCAAGTTCACTGTGTACAATAATCAAATAGTTTCACGTTGTGCATTTATGCCCCATGCTATTTATTTATTAAATGTGTCATGTCAAATGAAAACATCTTTTAGTGTTGTAGTCAGAGCTCATACTTGGATGGAGGAACAAAAGAGCCACATCATGTTATTTCTATCCTGGGGCCATTGTTCTGCACAGTGTATGTATTACTAGGCTGTTAATGCTAATGACTAAACAATACTGTTGACAGAAAGTCAGGACCAGTGTGGTTTCGTTTTCAACCTGGAATGGAGAATTAATTTGAGCTTCCTGGATGATGCAACACAACAACCTCGTTGCCAGAGTCGGATTATAAAAGAGAAGAAAACATTTCCCTCTCTGTGTCTCAGACTGAAGGAAGCTTGAAGCAGACTTTAACAAGAGCAACCTGTTGAGTGTCAGCATGGAAGAATTACTGGCTCCTTTTAGGCAGGCTGTGCGGGAACAGGTAGGTTTTTCATCTGAAGATCATGCTCGTTTTCCAGATTTCTTTTCTCAAACAAACAACAGCAGCTCTTCAACAAGCGTTATTCTTGTTACTTTTTAATCATAGTTGGTTTCGCTAAATAGATCATGATCATTTCAAGTATCTGCCATTTCTGTTTTCACATGTATCAGAGCATTGCTTAGCCCAGGGGTCTGCAACCTTTAACACCCAAAGAGCCATTTGGACCTGGTTTCCACGCAAAAGAAAACACTGGGAGCCGCAAATACTGTTTGACATCTAAAATGAAGATAACACTGTATATATTGTTTTTTACCTTTGTGCTTTGTGTGAACAACTAAGGTGTGTTTATGAAATCCTTTAAGTGCTAATGAGAAAATTACATTTTATTTATGTAATTAACACATTTTGAACTCTTAAAGAAATATAACAAAAGGAAAGACACCCAGCTGAACGAAAATGATCCATGTAGCAAACAAAAACCGCCCTTATATCGCCTTTGGGCTTTTGGAGCGTTGACCTGGCTTTTAAAAAATAATTGGAAAAAAAGCACTATGCTGCTAAAAAATGAAAAATAGATATTTGCAATATTCTGCCTAAATATGTATTTTACCTGGTCAATGTGTGTGGCGGGGCGTGGTCTGCATCACCGCTGCAGGGGAGACGGACGCACCTGAGCGGCACCCGCAGTCACGCCTCGCGGTCTGTGCTCTCTATGCTGTTGTGTTGGTGTGTGTTGGTGTGTGAGCTGAAAAGCTACAGCCGGCTGTATGCGTACAGCAACCGTGTGTGAAAAGTGGTCAATAAAGAGATGCTGAAAAGCGTGTTCATACAAACATCGTCGGGTGTTGGCCGTGATGTGTTTACAATGGGACTTCTGCTCCTGAACTTCTGCAAATCAGGGCTGTACGAAGTCACTTTCATCTTTATGCAGGACTGTAAGCTGTCATCTGTGAGGCGTGAGCGGTGTTTCTTTTTAACATAGTTCACGGTGGAGAATAGTTGCTTACATAATGTGGATCCGAAGATCCATAATTGGCCTACCTGGGGTTGAAAGTCTCGATAAATGCACCGCGTTTCCGCGGGTGTGACGCTTATTTTGAGCGATGAAAAAAATAATGGAATATAATTTTATTTTTATATTTCAATATCACAATAATCTTCCAATTTAGAACTACAAGTTAAAAAAAGATCTAACATAAATAAAATATACTTCAGCTAAATACTTCTAATTTATTTTCCCAAACCTCGCGGAGCCGCACTATAAGGACTAAAGAGCCGCAGGTTGCCGACCCCTGGCTCAGCCTTTGTTACTGAAACTGAAAAACCACTTAATTCGAGTGTGGAGAGGAGGTAAAGTGTAGTTCTGTTCTGCAGGGTGACTTGGTCCGTGAGTTAAGGGAGAAAGGTGCTCCGGAGCAGGAGGTGAGCAAAGCTGCTGCAGAGCTGAAATCACGGAAAAAGACTCTTGAAGCAAAGGTGAGAGTCTCACAGCTCCTGATTGGCCTTTGCACTGATTCTGCTTTCAGTTTGACATGTTTTTCCTCGCGTGCCTCTCTGCTAACTTTTATGACCCCCACTCTGATTAAGAAATAGTGCCTCACACCATCATTTCCCATTACAGGAACTGGCTCTGCAGCCCAAAGAGGACACAGTGGATCGAGTGAAGATGGAAGATACATTGAAGAGGAGGTTCTTCTATGATCAGGCATTTGCCATATATGGAGGTAAGGTAGCAGAAAGGAAGGATAACAGAAGCTGATACAGGAAAAGCTGAAAAACCAAGAAAACACTTGTGGAAATGCTTCATTTTTAAATCAATATTTATTTTATTAAAAAAAAACTACTTGTCCCTCAGGTGTGAGCGGCCTGTACGACTTCGGGCCTGTGGGCTGTGCTCTGAAGAACAACATCCTGCAGGTGTGGAGGCAGCACTTCATCCAGGAGGAGCAGATCCTGGAGATCGACTGCACCATGCTGACCCCCGAGCCCGTCCTCAAGTAGGTAAGCACAAATTCAAGTTTGGCTTCTAATAGATTTGTCCTATAACCAGCTCCCCATTTGTTTCAGGACTTCTGGGCATGTGGATAAATTTGCTGACTACATGGTGAAAGATGCCAAGACAGGCGAATGCTACCGGGCAGATCATCTTCTCAAAGGTGGCTTTAAACTTTCTGACAAGGTGTCAGATTTCATGACATGGACAGAAAATGACAGAAAACTAAAGGAACTATGAGAAATACAGAGTAGCATCATAATCTTGCTGATGTTAGACATATTTTGGTGATATTTATTTCCCTGCAGAGCGAGTTCTGAACAGGTTTTTACCTGCCTTGCTGTTTAGTATCTCCTCTGAGGAATTGATTTTGAGCTGCACAGATAACTGATAAGTTTTTTCTTCCACCTGACATCGGTCAAGCAGCTCAACAGACCTTTTAAAAAAGAAAGAAAATGAGAATAATTATTTAACATTTAAACAGAGTGTGTAATAAATACCTATTTTAACCTTGTACGCTTAGTTAAAGGGATATTTTGAGCGATTTTGCACATGAAGATAGTTTTGTGTTGTCTATGGGTTTATTTGTATGACATTTAACCTTTTTATATTGTACATTTTATATAAAGGACTTATTGACTGGCTGGTTTTCTTAGATCTCATTATTGGCTAAAACCAAACAGACAAACACATCAATGAAACAATAATCTAAAAATGTGCGTGTTAATCCTTGCATCTATCTTCTTTTTCGTTTTATTCCTCACAGCTCACTTAAAGAAACTGATGTGTGAGGAGAAGTGCTCAGCGGGGCAGGTGAATGAATTGGAGGATGTCATCACACAGGTGTGTGCCTCGCAAACACACATGCACCGGTGTGTTGGTGAAGAAATAATCCTGTGATGCATTTGTGGTCCCTCTGTTTCAGATGGATAACTACGCTCAGCAGGAGCTGGCCGATCTATTTGTGAAATACAACGTCAAGTCTCCTGCCACAGGAAATGACCTCACACCTCCTGTCTCCTTCAACCTCATGTTTCAGACGTCCATCGGGCCTGGAGGGAACATGCCTGGGTACTCATATCTGCACTTGCAACATTCCTTTCAAGGTTTATTATTTTGCTGTGTTGAAATTGTGCACGTTGGTATTTCTGCAGCTACCTGCGACCTGAAACAGCTCAGGGAATGTTCCTCAACTTCAAACGTCTGTTGGAGTTCAACCAGGGAAAGTTTCCCTTTGCTGCTGCTCAGATCGGAAACTCCTTCAGGAATGAAATATCTCCTCGCTCTGGACTCATTCGTGTTAGGTAATGCTTAGAATGAATTATTGCTGCCTTCCAAAAGGGATGTTGGGTGAAATATCAGCATTTCCTGCTTGCAGGGAGTTCACCATGGCTGAGATCGAGCACTTTGTGGACCCAAATGAGAAGGTCCACCCTAAATTCTCCAATGTGGCCGACCTGGAGATCATGCTGTTCTCCTCCCAGGCTCAGACAAGCGGACAGTCAGCACAAATGATGAGGCTGGGAGATGCTGTGGAGCAGGTAGGTGTCGTTTTACTGACATACCTTAGAGCACCAAAACTATAGCATAGATGAAAGATGAATGGTTAGAAGCAAGTTTGGTATTTAATTCAGTATTTGACGCACATCTTTACATTCACTGTCTCTCTGCTGCAGGGAGTCATCAACAACTCTGTGCTGGGCTACTTCATTGGAAGAATCTACCTGTATCTGATCAAAGTGGGACTATCCAAAGACAAAGTGCGCTTCCGTCAGCACATGGAAAACGAGATGGCTCATTACGCATGTGACTGCTGGGATGCTGAGTCCAAAACCTCCTATGTAAATATTTTTTCTTTCCACTAACAGACTTATAAAACCATTTAAAGCATTATAAAGACAGCGTCCAGTTTTATATTTTAGTTGCACCTTTGTGTTTTTTCTTCTTCAGGGTTGGATTGAAATTGTGGGCTGTGCGGATCGCTCCTGTTACGACCTTTTGTGTCACTCCAGAGCTACCAAAGTCCCTCTGGTGGCAGAAAAGATGCTAAAAGAGCCCATATCCTTCTGTGGTCCCAGTCCAACAACCTGACTATAATTACACTAAATGTGTCAGGTCAGACCTATAGCCTATTAATAAAATATTTTAAATATCCAACTTTATTTATTTACAATATAGGTTTTTGCCTTTGAACAATTTTCCTTCGTTTCAATTCAATTTTATTTAAAGAGCACCAATTCACACCAACAGCTTTATATTAAAAGGTAAAGACCCTACAGTTGGTAACCGTGGGAAGGAAAAACTCCCCTTTTATCAGCAGGAAACCTCCAGTAGAACCAGCTCAAGCAGGGGGAGTCATTACTGCGACTGCGTGGGGGTGAGGAGGAGTGTTAGATTTCATGCTAAAATCACTCAGGCTGTGGATACAGGTTTGAAAAATGAAGCCTCTGTCTTCAACCTGCATTCTTTGTATTGGCCAGCAGGGGGCTCATGGTTACAAAAAGAGGCAATATAGTTTGAGAAAAGAACCCTACTACACTTTTATGATCTCAGTAAACACTTTTTTTTATGAGTTTATGATCTGAGTAGCCAGTTTTAAGCCCTGTTTGATATAGATGTAGTGTTTATATTGTAAATTAAAGTCCTATTTAGAGTAAAATAGACCTAAACCATGTATAGGATGTGGAGTGTTTCTCAGCCGGGTCTTCTTTCAAACACACAAGATGGCGATGGCCAAAATGCTTAAGCCAAGGCTTCACCAACCAGTGGCTGATGTCTCAGTGGCTTTATCCATCCTTTCTTCATTGTTATGTTTTTTTTCCCAAGTTTTATGCCTTAATTAGTTCATACAAAACAGTAAATGTCATCCAGTTTGAGCCCAACAAAAGTGCCATTGGAATGGCCTACAAAAAGGATGCCAAGCTGGCTCTGGAGTACCTGGCTGTCTGTGATGATTGCTACATCAGCGATCAGGAAAAGCTTCTCAGTGAAACAGGGTAATTAATGACGTTCATGCTCTTAACAACCATAAAGTTCATTTATGAAGCATTTTGTGACTTGATGTTGTGTTTCTGTCTGTAGGGAGTTCAGCTTTGAGACAGACGGCAAAACCTTCAAACTCACTAAAGATATGGTCAGTGTGAAGAGGTTCCAGAAAACCCTGCATGGTAAGAGGTGACATCAATCCTGTTTTTTAATGCCAGAGTAGGCAAGTTATTGTGGAAGGGTGGCAAAAACAACAACAACAAAAAAAAACAACAACTCTCAAATGTCTCTATTTTACCCTGTCACAGTGGAGGAGATTATTCCCAATGTAATTGAACCCTCTTTTGGGATCGGCAGAATCATGTACTCGATCTACGAGCACTCATTCCACATCCGGGAGGGGGATGAACAGAGGACGGTAAGAATACTCCACAACAAGAAAACAGATCTGAGTAACAGTTACGTGTTTGTTTTGATTTAAGGTGCTTTATTCTGTGGTCAGTATTTCAGCTTTCCTACCATTGTGGCTCCATACAAATGCTCCATCCTGCCTTTGAGCCAGAACCAGAACTTTGTGCCATTCATCCACCAGTTAGGTGAGTATAGTCTTTCCATTTCAGTAGAGTGTTGGCTGTTACAGTTAAATACTCAAATGCTCTTTTCAATAGTATTTGGTGAATACTATTGAATACTAGAGCCAGGATATAGTTAGCTTAGCTTGGTTTAGCTTTAGTCTGACATTGTCTGCAGCCTGGCCAAATTAAATAGAGGATTTTCTTATTTCCCTTAGTTGATCACTGGGAACAGAGATACACCCCATCATGAATCATGGGGTGTATCTCTGTTCCCAGTGCTTTCTCCAGTAACTAGTTTAACTAATTGTTTTCTGTTTGGTTCTCATGCATTGTTTATGCACAGATCTCTGAATGTCCTGCCACACCAGTTCAATCAGGTTGAGGTGTGGACTTTGACTGGTCCATTGCAACACCTTTATTCTTTACCTTTTGAGCCATTCTGTTATAGATTTGCTGCTGGTTTGGGATCATCGTCCAGTTTCAGCAGAGCTTTAGTTGTCAGACAGATGTCCTCATATTTGATTTTCAGTGACTGCAAGGTGTCCGAGTTCGTTAGCTAAAAACAAGCCAAAATCATCACCCCTCTACCACCGTGCATGACAGTTGCTATGAGGTGCACACGCTGACATGCTGTGTTTTGTTTTCACCAAACATAGCATATGTTTGTCCTGGCAAACCTTCCAAACTAGTCATACTTGTTTAGTCTGTATTGTTATGAAGTTTAACATTTAACATGCTAAGGCTTGCAGAGTCTCAGCTATAGCTCCAGCGGCATTTGCAATTCCTGTGCATGTTGCACGGTCTGACCTTGGGCTGAATTTGCTGGGAATTGTGTTATTACACACCTGAGTGCTCCAGACCAACAAACTGCCAAAGCATCTGCTTTTACATTCTCTTTTTCAGATTACTGAGTGACTTTGCCAGGGTTATAAGTCATGGTAGGGCTTGGAATACTGAGTATACATGTAGTATTACTTAGCAAGTTTTAGAGGTTGGCAATAGTCTCTTCCTATTTATAGTCTTAATGTTACACCCAGCTAATAGCTATATATTCATACTTAAGCAAATGTAATGGTTTTGTCATCATCTTCCTCCTTGTAGCTGAGGCTATGACCAGAAACGGTGTGTCTTACAAAGTAGACGACTCTTCAGGGTCCATCGGGAGGCGCTACGCGCGGTCAGATGAGATCGGAGTGGCTTTTGGAATCACCATCGACTTTGACACAGTGAACAAGACGCCTCACACGGCCACTCTGAGAGACCGTGACTCGATGAGGCAAATCAGGGCCGAGGTAAACCAGTTAACTGTTTTGATTTTTGAAAGTGCCATATCTGTTTTTTTTTTCATTGGTTTTTTGGATACTAATTTACTAAAATATATCACAGATCACAGAGTTGCCAGACATTATACAACATCTGGCTAGTGACACCTTGAAGTGGGCTGAAGTGGAGAGCAAGTACCCCATCTTTGAAGGACAGGAGTCCAGCAAGAAGGAGTAACCATCCATCCACCCATTCATTTCACGAAGTGGGACACACTCTGTACAGGTCCCCAAAACCTATCTCCAATTGGAGATAACATTTGGAGAACAGTGTTGCTCAAGCAAATCACCAACTGACATGTTGAACTGTTCCTATGAAGGAGGAGAACGGTTTAATAATCTATAATTTTCTACATTGTCACGTTTGATTGTCAAATAAACAACAAAATATTTGTCCTACAGTTCGTTTCATTTGCCGCTTAAATGACAAACTGTATTGTATTTTGAGATATTGTCACTAGTTGGCACTGCGTGTTGTTTTATATCTCCCAGTGAGCTGTTGTTAGAATCTGAGACACGGAGCTTCAGGCTGCTCAAATTTGCAGGAGGCTTAGACCATCCCAAAACAGACCTGGCAACATGTAGAATGGAAAATTTTTTTACAGATAAAATATCTGGGTCTTTTTTCTTTTGACAGTAAAAATAGTTCCTCAAATCTTCAAAGTATGTTATGTTAAGCAGTGTGACGCAATGCAGACATGAGTACATGTAACTATGTAAATATAATGAGGGCTTCAACTTCAGACTTTTCAGTATTAAATGTGAAAATATCGACATATGGCTTGAGTGAGTTTTGCTAACTATTTGCTGCTTATTAGCAAATATAGGCGACCTGAATACATGTCCAATGTTGTGTGGCTCATAGTCTATTATACTGTTTTAGCAGTCCTCCCGTTCCGCCCCCCCTGTGTCAGTGGACAAAGTACAAATACACCATGTCACCTTTAACGGGTGGCAGCTCCCTCTCAGGGAGTCAGAGGGACCTGCAGCTTGACCTGCACTCTGTGGAAGCACAGCAGATGCAAAACTTTACCTTTCCTTCCATGTTCTTTTTTTATGTGACATTTTAAAGTGCCTTTGAAACAATCTGAATTTTCTTTAACAACTACTTTGGGCTTACTGCGATCAAGGTCAGTATCACAACAGGTGGTGTGGAGGACAAACTGAAGTGCATGACCGTGTGGCATTTCAACAGCATGCATCTCATTCAGACACCATGAAGAGAAAGCAGGAAGGGGTTTTACTGTAGTTCATTGTTGCTTCATTTAGCTGAGTTTGATTTTTCTCTTATAGCAACACGTAGCTGTTTCATTGTGTGCAAGCCTAAGCTGCAATTCATCAGAGAGAAATCGTTTAGTTAAAAATAGCAGCAGCTGCACTTTAAATTCTAATCGGTCAGTTTACCCTCCACCTTTTTATGAGAAATGTGTCAAACAAGTCAAAGAAACAATATTCTTAAATAATTGAAGCTTAAAATCAGGCATTATACAGCAAGGTTTTTGGAACAGAATATATTAAATAAGGAGGAGAAAGCAGGTTCTTATTGTACCAAAGAAGAGGCATCAGAATCCACAAAGCAAAAGATAAATAGTGAAAAGAACCACTCTTTGGCACAATAGGAGGGCATGCTTATAGTGAATTATGCAGTTTATTATGCAGATGCAAATCAAATCAAATCAAATATGATCTTGTAAAATATGTTTAACCGTCAAATATTAAACTATCCGACCAGGCCTACTAATACAGTTCATTTAGGTTTAACTGATTTTTTGCTATAGCTGACTCTGACTGTTCCTTAGTTGCTAGTTTCTAGTCTTACTAAAGCAAATTCTGGTACCTATTAGAGTCAAAATACTACTACTAATAATATTAACAATAATAAAAATAATAATGATACAATATGTTTTAGGGCAGGCCTCCCATGTAACAGAAAAGTCATGACCCCTATGGTATTTCAGTGTCTCTCAGTTCCTCTGTCAGCTCCACCCCTCTCAACATGGCGACTATGAAAAGTGTGATTAATTAATGCCAGTAAAACCAGCATGTCATGTGACTTAATTCTTCCCATGTTATCACTGGACTATTAGAAACTCTGATACAACAGCATCGTGACCAATCATGTCATGAAGTCATTCGTAGATCTCAGGGTGCAATCAGCCACTGCTGCTATACACAGCTTACCTTGTTAGCCAGCTAGCTAGCTTGTGAGCATAGAGAAATCCTTGAGTAAATCATCGGTTAAGTCAAAAACTGCAATCCTATAAGTGGTTCCTGGTCCCAAAAAGCTTAAGAATTGCTCAATTTAAACTACCTAAGTGTAAATAAACCAGAAAAAACAACATACCATTTTAAAAGTACTATTTAAAATCTGATGTGTTAGTAAGAGTGATCTAATAGCAACACTGATGGTTTTTTACTCTGAGGTGTTAAAAAATAAAAAATCCTACTGCTCTGCTTTCCTTTGAATAACGGATGTGGAAACTTCGTTGACAGCTGGACTAATAATCTTTAAAATTAGCAGTTATTAATCCATTTGATAAATGTACAAAGATAAGTACAATAAAAATGTGGAAAGTCCTCTGTGATAGTCACAGGTTAAGAGGAAGCAAATGGCTTTTGTTACTTTCCATCTCTGATAATGTGTCACAGAAAGTTCACGGATGACAGTTACCTAAATTTAGAATCAGCGATGGATTAGAGGTCTATTTTAGTTGGGTTATGCAAAATAATGTAATAAATGCCCTCATACAAATACTGCAGTAGGACTGTGACACTTTTTGTGAGGCTCAGTTTATTTTTAGGATTACAGCTGTTCATGAAGAATAATGTGCCACCCTTCCTGTAGTACAGCAGTGACTGGGATCCAAAGGATCCCCAAAATAAAAGATAACATCAGGGGAAAGGGGATGAACCTCTGGCATATGTGTCTTACTGTAGGCAGGATAACTCAGGAATGCTATTTGGCACCGCCTGTTTTAGGTGTGACAGACAGATTAAAGTACTCTGACTTCTCTGTGGTTTATATTCAGGAGCCTCCGGAGCTCCGTGCTGTCCTGACTGCATCGCCATGGGGCTCAAAGCTGCTCTTCCCAAGTATGAGATTTATTTCTACAACACTGTTTTGTGTCTGGCCATGTTCTGGGCCACTAGCTGGATCTTTGAGGTGTCCAGTTGTGAGTATGAGTTAACACACTGACACACATGCACACAGAAAAAGAGCATCCGAATATTAAGCCTACTGTATTTGGTCATTTATAATGAAAACTGTCCTAACTGGTGGTGCAGGTGGATTCAAACTTAGGACTCTGAGTTAAAAGTTCACAGGTTTATTTACAACAATGAAATACCAGGAATTGTATCTGAAAGCTTTAACACAACGAGGTCTGATGTCAGGTTAACAGGTAAGTCCACAGCTTAATTTTTCCCACAGGAATGTCTTTAAACAAATTTTGCAAATTTCTCTCAAGAGTTTCTGCACAGAAGCATCCAAAATGCTACTAACTGTGTAGGGAAGCTGTCCATCAATGACCCAGATGGTTGGAGGGGGGTTGGAAGGGGGTACAACAGACTGGACTAAGTGGGTTTCGACTGGAATATGTGCAACGTTCCACATGCTGTCAATTCTCATATTCTGGGGTAGCTTAAGACAGACACACACAGAGTTAATCAGAACCTCAACTTCAAAAGGACCAGTGTAGTGTTAGAGTTGGGTGAGTACTCTTCCCAGGTAAACTGGAAAGTCCAGGTGGACCTGTCGGTCGATGCCACACGCCAGAGACCTGCATCTAGCTCCTGGTTAGTTCCCTCTGCTTGCTTGTTGGTCACATGTGTTTCTTGAATGATGTTTGAGCCAGAGGTGACCAACAACTAAACGTGTACAGAATATGATGAACCAGCACAGGACTAGGTGACAGAAAACTACTAAGAAGACCATTTTGTTTAAAGGATATCTATTTATATTTATAGCATAGAAATACCTATGAAGTACTAGTTAATCATATATTAATTCCGTGACTCTATCCTAGACTATCTATACTTTATAAACAAATTATCTTGCAAATTAAATCATAAAAAGGACTAAAACAAAGCTTGACTAAATTATTTTCCTCTTTTTCCTGATCAGCATACATTAGATTCCTCGAATGCAAAGTTCATCTGAGACTGTAGCACAGTCACGTACAGACAATACACTGTGAAGTATACATATGGGGGAAGTGTCACAGTGTAAGGTTGAGGAGTCTGAGCTATGTAGACCACGCTGAGGAGAACAGGTGTCGGTATTAATACCACCGAGCACAAGAAGAAAATAGTCCCTCTGTTTGGCCTACATTTGTTTCACTGTCAATCTAGCAAAGGTTTGTCATTTGCACTCAAGGGCAAGAAAAGAAAACACGGTGCACAGAAACACTTGGCTTCTGTACCAAACTATAAAATGTTGTATTCCCCCCCCCAATTGTCCCATTGTTAGCCAGTGCAAACAGAAAGACTTTCAAAACCAGCGTGAAGCCAGGATGGTACTACTTTGGGAGGAAAATGGTAAGAAAATGAATGCAGCTCATTTGTCATCATTTGTTTGCAGAAGTGTTCTCATATTTCTAATATTGTTGTGCTCGCTGGTCTACAGGAAACTGCAGATTTCGAGTGGCTGATGTGGTTTTCCACCTTTAGAGACCACATCATATTTGCGCTCTCTGGTCATGTGCTGTTTGCCAAGATCTGCTCCATGCTGGCTCCACAGGTGCTTCTCCTGACAGATTGATGGATTGTTTTCATTGAGCTTCTGTAGGCGGATTAATGTAGTATAGGACAGATCCAATATTTACTGCTAGTGTTAATAATCTGAGTGAAGCACTGAACTGCAATGAACCCAAGTTTATTTCTCACCATTATCTGGCAACCTCAAAATCTTCTTTGTCACAGCTGAGCTTTTATTTGTTTTTTTGTTTTTTTTAGCTGCTCTTTTCCCAGGGTGGTATGATCTAACACCATACATCTTTAATGACCTTAAAAACAAGAACTGGGTGCACAAGAGTTCATTTAAATCGTCTGATTTCCTTGCATGATCCTGCCTTTTAAGTGTGGTCTAAAAAATTTTCAGCAGGGTTGAGGTCAACCCCTTGGGAAGGCCAGTCCAGAAGCTTAATGTTAGCCTGCTTTAGCCATTATAAAACACAGTTGCTTCTAAGTTTTAACCGTTTGGTTGTTGAGGTGAAGGTTAAAAACTTGGAGGTTGTCCTCAGTCTTCATTGTTCCGTCCACTTTGTGCAATGTATCAGTACCAGTGGCACCAAAACATCCCCAGAGCATGATGCTGCCACCACCATGCTTGACACTTGGGACATTGTTCTTCGGTTTGAAAGCCTCAACTTTACTCGTCCTAACATACCTCTTGTATATGTGTTATAATTGCTCAATCTTTTTCTTATTTGAGCATAAAAACTATTCTCCATGAGATATTTGGCTTGTCCATGTGGGCTGCTGTAAATTTCAGTTGAGCTAGAGGATGTTGATTTTGGAGCAAGTTTATATCTCTTGGGTTCATCAAGTTAAAAACCACTGTAGAACCTTCAAAGATTTAAGTGACCCTGTATGTATCATTCACTCGTTAAAGATGATATTCATGCCCATGATGAATGTATGAAAACTTTTAAACCACAAGGGTGACACCATTTTTCTGTCCCACAGTATCGGTCCTTGGTATATATGGTGTATGGCCTGCTTGCTGTGTGGACCAGCATGGGCTGGACCTATGTCACCCTCATCCTCTCCCACTGTATCCTGCTCTACAGCATCTCTTTAGTGAAAATCCGCTGGCTTTGCTTCGTCACTGGTCTTTGTACGCTGGCTACATTCAAGTGTGAACCCTTCATTTCCTGGCAGGTAAGCTGCTGGCACCCAAACACCTCAGTGTATTGTCTATACATTTCTCATGGTCGATTCCCCATGTCTTCTCTAAACAGGCAGGTTTTGTGGAAGGGGACTTTGAGTTGCGTCCTGTTTTCTTCTATGGAGGATGTGGGTTTACAATCATGCGTTGTATGAGTTTTGCTCTGGAGAACTGTGAAAGAAAAGATGGCAACTACAACATCTTGGAGCTGCTCAAGTACAACTTCTACCTCCCTTTCTTCTATTTCGGGCCTATCATGACTTTTGATAAATTTTATGTTCAAGTAAGTTTAATTTGATTCTTTACAGGTTACAAAATTATTAAGTATGACGATCGTGTGACCTAAAATTGATGGTTTCTTTTACTTTTCTTTACTGCTCATGAAGATATTTAGAACACACAATGTAAAGTTTACATGCATTTATGTCGCCATCAGTAAAAAAATCTGACGTTTAAAATATCCCTAAATAACAGGGCCTGTTGTCTGCAGAGGCTGAAAGTTTCTGGCTTTCTCCGTAGTTGTGATGTGTGTTTGCTGCCCTCTGCAGGTCAACAGGTGTGACCTTACCAGGAAAGAGCGGGAGATGTGGAATATCAACCTGCACGGTGTGATCCACCTTATCGTCATCATTGTAGTGGACATCCTTTTCCACTTCATGTACATCCTCACCATCCCCACTGACTTGAAGCTGATGAAGCACCTGTCTGACTGGGCTCTAGGTCTGTGCCACTTCACGAAAATTCCCGTTTTAATATTTTTAAACCCAACGGCATGCAAAAAAAAAAGCACAAATGAAGACTGAACATTAACATATAATTAAAAGCTTTGACTTTATGCAAACAAACATTAACATGAAAAATTTCCAGTTTTAATTTCAATTATTTGAGATGAAAGGAAACTTGCAGCAGAACTGATGTCACTGCATTGTTTCCAGTGGGGCTGGCTTACTTTAACCTGGTGTATGACTGGGTGAAAGCAGCTGTGATGTTTGGAGTCATCAACACGGTATCCAGACTGGATCACCTTGACCCTCCTAAACCACCAAAATGCATCACCATGCTCTATGTGTTTGCTGAAACGTGAGTGAGGCTTGAACACAAGTGAGTGGTTCCAGGCGTACATGTGGTATAATTCTATAGTACTAAAGCTGATTTTGTTTTGTAGTCACTTCGACAGAGGGATCAACGATTGGCTGTGCAAGTGAGTGTCTCCAAAAGGCCACCAATATTAAAGTCATGTTAATCATTTGAAAAGCAAAGGTTCTGATGAAGCCCTAATCCACAGGTATGTGTATAATTACCTGGGTGGAAAGCACGAGAACATGGTGGAGGAGCTTGTGGCTACACTGTGCACCTTCGGCATCACCATCCTCTGGTTGGGACCCTGTCAGGTGGTCCTGGTCTGGGCTTTCCTGAACTGTTTTGGTCTCAACTTTGAGCTGTGGACAGGCAAATTCTTCTCCGTGGAGCCATTTAGCTCTTTTGAGGTTGGTCAGATGAGTTTGTTTGTACACATCAATAAGCAGTTTGTAAAGGATAAGGGATTTAACGTGCATGTTGTATATAAATATGATTTGCAGATGGCAATGTCAGAAGCGATGTCTCGGCGCATCAGAGCCATCTTCAACACTTTTAACTTCTGGAGCATTGTGTTGTACAACATTCTGGCCTTGAACAGTTTGGACTTTGCAAAGTTGGTTGCCAAACGGCTGCTTCTAAAAGGTGATTTTGGTTGTTAATTATGAGGCAACTTTGCCATTTCTTACCAGCTTATTAACAAGGAATTACCTTCCCAGGCTTCCCCATAACCACCATCATCGTCATGTTTGTGACCTACTGTCTGATTCAAGTGATCAAGGAGCAAGAGAGGAGACAGGCACTCATAGACGATCCCGATCCACTCCCACCAGCACCGCCTCCAAACGCTGCCACCAGTCCTACCACCTCTGCAACTGCACCCACTGCTGCTCAGCCAGTCGCAGATCCCAGCAAAGAAAAAGCAGAGTAGATATTTAATTTTTAACGAATGGTTACAATGATGAAAATTGTGAGTTCTGTCCAAATGCTAACAGTATTATGAGTTTGAATGGATGCAGACAAGCTCGCTGTAAATAAAATTTTAAGTATTTTTACCTAAGGGAGAATTTAAAACTTAATGAAAAAAAATTACAGTAAATGAATATTTACTGTAACATATTGTGAAGTTCACCTGTATACTAACCAGGACTAACAATAAAACTACATTGTCGGGACTGTGATTGGTCTAGAGCAAAAGTAAAGATTAGTGAAAACATTTGTACTTTGTGTGTTTATGCAGGTTTTTGTTCTCTCCGATGAAACTGCTGGCGCTTTTTACACTACATGAGTCAGTGTTGAGTCTTGTCATAGTACCGTGAGCCATTTCTGTTGCATTACATCAGCACTTTGTCACTGAATCCTGTTTGCTGCTTCCACATGGAAAACACTTTGAATACTGTTGGGAGGGAGTGCTACAGACACCTGTGGTGAATCACTGCTCTGACCAGAACAAGGCAATAAAATGGATTTAATAACATCAAACGGCGGAGGTTCCCTTTTTTTGTTAGGGTAAATTTACCAGGTAATTTTGGCAAATCACTAAGAAAAAAAATATGTGTGACATTTAACTGTGTTTTCATGATTACCTGAAATGTTTTTGTGTTAAACTGATGCAATAAAACATGAGTGTTTGAGCCTCTACAGCTTTTGAGACATTAGCTGTCCCATGTTTTTTGACACGAGCAGTGTTCAGGGTAAAATGGTTCAGCTGATCAGTGAAAATGTCCCACTGTACTCAGCCAAAGCCCCTCTCATCCTTTCCTCTACCCACTAGTTGTATTTTTAAAACACTTTTGATGCCTGTCACATTTATCACTTCTATATCAACATGTTTCTTTCATCCTTTTTTCAGGTAGTGTAATGTGAAAATGGAATGTAAGACATAGAATAAGAAATATATCAAAATATTTTTAAAATGGGGAACTTTAAAAATATCTAAAAAAACTCAACTCAGAGGGTGGCCCACTTTACCTGAAATGAATCACCCATTTTATCTAATACATGAGGGTAAATTGGGCTGGTAATTAAAAATGTTTTTTCATACAAATTTGCTTAATTTAGAAAATTATCTGCATTTTTCTGGCAGAGGACAGCACAACATGGATTATGAATCAAAATGTCTAGATGTTCATTTGGTTCTTATTCACCTTATTATTGAAGAGTAAGTTTTAACAAGTCAGGTCACTCACCATGGAGTTTTCTGTGGCAAAATGAACCATCATCCTTGCAATCTCAGACGAATCACATCAAATGCTAAATGTTAAGTACTGTTTACTTTTAAAGACAGCTTTTAAAGAGCTAAGACAGTCAAACCTTAAATGGCCCATTTTACCTGGGTTATTACATGCCTTTCTTTTTCAATGAAAGTGTTTTGGTTCTGTTCAAATAAAATAAATTGCTTCTTAACAACACTTAAACTAATTCAGCTCTTTAGAAAACAATAATTTTCATAGTGGTAGTGGCAGCCTATCAGATCACCAATAAACTGAGAACTGTTAGCTTAGCAAAAAGACTGGTCTAAAAGAGCAGCTGAACAAATATATTGCCAAATCCTTATTTATAACTCTCTCTTTGAAATGAACAAGAACACTATGTTAAACATTCTGTGTATTAAAATAAATCTATTAGTCATTTCAGAGTTTCCTCTGTTTTCCACAGAGTCATCGTCACATGTATGTAATGCTACAAAATGCTAAGATGACCCCCTCAGAGAAGCCTACTAAACCATGTACTCCAGGGTCTGCCATGACTCATGCTGGACACAGTTCCCATTAAGCAGTGTGTCAGCTGTCTGGGAGTGGGTCGGTGTGGACTTCGAGGTGGGACAAGGGGAAGCATGGATATTACATTTCAAGTTCCAGAATAAAGCCCATTGCTCTACACCAAGCACCCAGTCTATAAATAAACCTCCAGTTGGAGTTCAGTTGAAGGGTCAGGACAGCTGAGGAAGTGGGCTGTCTCTGGTGTGTCTGAATACTCTTTTAAATCCTCTTTCCAGGCTAGAAACTAGAACAGCTTAGTTATAGAGGAGATACATTTTGTTTGATTTCTTTAGCCCCTGAAAGGCTCTTCATACTTCTTCTGCCAGGAACGATGGCTCTGCCTATAAACCCAGCGGATGAGCCCAGATTGTACCAGCAGACTCTACTCCAGGATGGCCTCTATGACCTGCTGGAGAATGATAAGCTGGTCGACTGTGTGCTGAAGATCAAAGACAAAGAGTTTCCCTGCCACCGGCTCGTTCTGTGTGCCTGCAGCTCATACTTCCGCTCCATCTTTCTTTCTGACCTGGATGAGAGCAAAAAGAGGGAAATTATCCTGGAGGATGTGGAGCCAGGTGTCATGGGGCTCATCGTGAAGTATCTGTACACCTCCAAGATCAATGTGACAGAGCAGAATGTCCAGGATATCTTTGCTGTCGCTAATATGTACCAGATCCCTTCAATTTTCACTGTATGTGTGTCTTTCTTACAAAAGCGCCTAAGCCTCAGCAACTGTCTGGCTATCTTCAGGCTCGGCTTGATGCTGGACTGTCCCAGATTGGCCATCTCTGCTCGAAACTATGCCTGCGAGCGCTTTCAGCTCATCTCCAGAGATGAAGAATTCCTCCAGCTGCTTCCCAGTGAGCTGGCAGCCATTTTATCAAATGACAATCTAAACGTAGAGACAGAAGAGGAGGTATTTGAAGCTTTGATGAACTGGGTGTCCCGGAACAAAGAGACCAGAGAGAAAGAGCTGCCGAATTTGTTGGACTGCATTCGTTTGCGTCTTGTCAATGAGGACTATCTGAGAGAAAAAGTGGAGAAACACAAACTTATCTCCTCTAACCCCGAGTTGCAGCAGAAACTCCAGCTGGTTAAGGATGCCCACGCAGGGAAAATGCCAGAAGTTAAAAAAAGAAAAAGCAAGGAGGAGGAGGATGGTGGAGCAGGGAATGATGGAGAGAGTGAAGATAAAGATGATGAAGAGGGCCTTCTCCCAAGCATCCTGAATGATAATCTTCGATTTGGGATGTTTGTCAGAGACTTGATCCTGATGGTTAATGATGCTGGCGCTGTGGCCTACGACCCAACGGGGAACGACTGCTTTCTGGCATCACTTTCCACACAGATTCCCAAAAACCACGCCAGCCTGGTGACCAAGGAGAACCAGATCTTTGTGGCCGGAGGATTATTCTTTGATGAACAGAACAAGGATGATCCACTGTGCTCATACTTCCTGCAGGTAGGAGAACGTCAAGACAAAGTTTGTAGAAAGAAAAGAGAAGATGAAAAACTTCCAATTACATGCGGTACACATACAAATATAGTTCAGTGCAAATATTTTTCTACACTGTAGTTCTGTACACTGTAAACATTTACAAATGTTTGACTCCTGTGACCACAGTACGACCCGGTCAGTGCCGACTGGCTCGGCATGCCTCCCCTGCCTTCTCCCCGTTTTCTGTTTGGAATGGGCGAGGCTGAGAACTCCATCTTTGTTTTGGGAGGAAAGGAGCTGAAGGAGCAGGAGCACATGCTGGATTCAGTCTTGGTATACGACAGACAGTGAGTACAGCCTTGAGTTCATGTATGAAATTTTAGGGAAAAAGCACTCAGTTTGTCATCCTTAATAATTAACTACATAATGTGTTTTGTCATTCACAGATCCTTTAAATGGGGCGAATCAGAGCCGATTCCATACCCAGTTTACGGCCATACAACATTATCTCATAATGACACTGTATACGTGATTGGAGGAAAGGGAGACAACAAGTGAGTACATGCTTCAAGCAAAATATTAATGTTCATATTAAAAGTGTGACCCTAAAAGGCTTCAGGATTTAAAGGAGGGTTTTCTTTATCTCAGAGGTCACTATTGTGAGTCTTTGTCCCTTTTGTAAAAAGGAGCTGTCTAAAGAAGATGTGTGCCTACGACGCCAAGCGTTTTGAATGGAAGGAGCTCGCGCCCATGAAGCACGCACGCTCCTTATGTGGAGCCACCGTTCATGAAAACAAAATATACGTGGCAGGAGGCGTCACTGACAACGGCCTGACAGACACTATGGAGGTGTATGATATCGCTACCAACAAGTGAGTTTCCTATATTTATATTTCTTTTCTTTTACTTTATTTTTTAGTTTAGTTTGTTTCTAATTATCTGTTGTAAAGCACACAGTCAGTGTAAAGTTACAACACATCATAATAAATGTAATAAAACTGTGGCTAAATGGTTTATCTAACTGAACATTTTTCTGTGTGTGTGTTAACGCGGTGCAGGTGGTCCGACTTTGTGCCGTTTCCTCAGGAACGTAGCTCCCTGAATCTCGTGTCGTTGGCTGGTTCCCTCTACGCCGTTGGAGGTTTTGCCATGATGCCTTTAGAGGACAGCGAAGAGGTTCTTCCTAAAGAGATGAACGACATCTGGAGGTAGATCGTAACAGACTTTAAAAAAAAAAAAAAGTTATTTCAACTGTTAAATTGTCTTTGCACAACTGTAATCTTAATTATATTTAGTATTTACTCAATTGTGTTAGTATTTAAAATGTTACTCAGTGAACCCAACATAAGATGCCACCGTCCTGCTTCAGTTCATAGTGGATATTTAATTACTTAAATTTAAACGCAAATGAGGGAGATAGGAGCCCTGGGAAAAACAATGACGACTGTCTCTTAACCTCCTCAGGTATAATGAGATGGAGAAGAAGTGGAATGGGATCCTGAAAGAAATCAAGTACGCCTCAGGGGCTTCAGTTTTGGGGGTGCGACTGAATACCTTGCGTCTCACCAAGATGTAAAACCCCCTCCAGTCCCCGTTTATGAACATGAACCTGTTTAGTTCACAGTTGTTGTACCAGAGTCCAAAGAACGGTTCAGGGCCACAGACATCAATGTTCAGCTCAATGTGTTCATTGTTCTCTTCCGTTTTATTTTACGCATTAGATTTTTTGTTGTAGCTTTTCTAATTATAACAAACTAATACTGTGGATTTGTTTTTTTGTTTCTTTTTGACCTATAATAATTTTATATATGTCTTTCTACAAGTTTAAATCTGATTCAGACTAAAACTACAGAGTCAGTAACCTAAAGACACCTGTTGCACTGTGTGGAATAAATCAAAATATTAAAGTGTCTAAATCCGAGTGGAAAATATAAGCATTTCCCAACAGATGGCAGCAAAGTTGCCAAAAAAAAGCACTACTGTAATATAAAAAACAAAACACAAAGACACATCTGAATTTGCAATAATATATCTATACTGTTTAATATTGAAATGATTTCATTACGCTCTGTTGTGTTACAGACAGTAAACACTAGTCAATAATACAATAAAAGACAGAAAATACAGTCTAATGTTATTAGCACCTCTAGACACTACTGTCCTTGTACTGTTTTTAGTATTTTATCATAGCTGAACGTGACGACTACTGCCTACACATGGGCTTTGTACACCAGAGTTAACTAAGTTGTAGTGTTAACATTATAGAGAGTCAGCAAATAACA